AGCTACAGTGCCCAAATGTATTCAATTTAAATTAGTAAATTAAACAAAGACTTCTACAAAATTAAAAGAAAATATAAATCATGTGTTTGATGTGTGTTATAGTGTGGCATGGTCAAGATAATTTGATTATATGTGTCATTTCACTTACCTTATGTTTTTATGATGAGAATTTAAAATGTATTCATTTATTTTCAAATATATAGTGAATTATTACTGGCTATAATCACCCTCCTATATAATAAGATCTCAGACTTTTTATTTCTACCTGAACATTGCACCACTCAGTCAACAATATGTACATATATATATTTGTTCATTAAAAATAATATTAATCTGTTTTTTTATTTAAAGAAAGACAAAACAAAATAGAAAATGGGCAGAAATAGTACATACTTTCAAAGAAAAGAAATAGACAATAATAAATCACTAGCTGAGGTATACATATTGTCCCCCTATAAATAGTTGTTCAAGGTACACAAGTGGAACATATATATGGGATTTCAACCAGGGAGACTGCAAACAGTTCTGTTCAGCTATCCAACAAATCTAAGTATTATGGCTATCAATCCTATACACTTAGACATGTATGAATTTATCCATATCTTCATTTATGTTGAGACCTAACACAGTTTATTAGATTAAAATCCTTCTGCACAAAGATTAATAATATTTCTGGATTTCACATCATAACACTCTGGAATCAGGATTGGGTACTGCAGTACCACTTTCTTTCCTTCAAAGTTTTTGTTCATTTCATCTGTGTCATCAGATCAGTTCTCATAAGCTGTTTATAGGTTTTATGTAAGCATGAGTCTTAACATGTATTTCTATTCTTTCTATATTAGAGGGAGAATCATATCAAAGCAGGATAGAACTAAACTTTTTCATATATATATATATATATAACTAAAAAGACATATAAATCTGTATAAGCAGTTCTACCCTGGTCATTGTGCTGTTTTTTGTTATCATCAACAGAATTGGCTATATCATCAGATAAAGTATAATTGAACGTATCAATACATAACAGAATTAACAGAAATACAACTTTGTAGATAGTGTAGAGCTACAAAAACAGGTAATAATCAAATCAGAATGGATATCATAGTGAATCATTGTCATTTTCAGTATAGTTGACTATATTCCTCAACTTGTTACCATCAATCTTACAGTTTTGAATAAAATCTGGCAATAATAAGCAGCAATCAAACAAGTCATATTTAACTAAGATAAGTCATGATACAACAGTATAAGTCATACATGGATCCTGATTGAGTTAATAGGGAATTACAGACGTCCCCGATGCTATGGACAGCTGTCTGTGCCCCTCAGATCCAGTGCTTGTATACAAACTAGGACAGAATGAGTTACAGCCAAGCAGAGTGGTGCGAGTAATAAGGGTTTTAATTCCTGATACACTATTAGCTATACTTCCTGCTGTTTTTTTGAGGACTATTCCTCCCCTTTACTCCCCCAGAATGAACCGTGTATTTTTGGGTCTCCCCAACATGGTTTTGTATTGGGGCGGGGGACAACCTGCTATTTACCTAAGAGTTTCTGAATTTTCTCACTCCTGGGCTGGATTTCTAGTTATATTTTTTTCATTTACTAAAGCCTGTCTGTTCAACCTATCCATAAATACTGGTCTAGTTAACCCTATTACTCTGGTTCCCTTTCACATCGAGTTCCATTTTCTTACGTTTGATTTTGATCCATATAACCTTCTTCAGGCTAACTATATTTCCTATAAAGAGCCTCTCAGTGGACCCTATCTCTTGATCTACTCTGCCTGCAATTCTCTCTTTTTTCCCCTTAAGTTAGTGTATCTAGGCCATCTGCATTAGAAATTATACTCAACTTTCTCTTCCTCATTTCTGTTGAGCTCTTTTTATGTTATAGTTGTCAGTTTGTCTTCTTCATTTTGCTTTCTGCTGCATTCATTGTGGCCTCTGCCACTGTTTCTGGAATCTTGGTATTTTTCTCTTTTAGAATGTCTTGCAGTATTCTCTGTAGAGTTGAACTGGTGGTTGCAAATTCCCCTAGTTCCTCTTTATCCTGGAAGCACCTTGTTTCTCCATTAATTTCTAGGGACAGTTGTGCAGGATAGATCAATCTCTTGGCTGGAGGTCATTGTCTTCCAAAGCTTGAATTATTTTGCCCTACGCTCTTTGTGATTTGATGGTTTGTGCCAAGAAGTCTCCTGTAATTATGATAGGTGTTCCCTTGTAAGTGATCTGTTTCTTGTCTCTGACAGCTTTTAATATTCTCTTCTTATATTGGATTTCTGGAATTTTGATTATTATATGCCTGGGTGTAATTCTGTTTGAGTTGTAGGTGGCAGGGGTCCTGTATGCCTCATAGATCTGAGTATCTTTACCTTTTCCCATATTAGGGAAGTTCTCCTTGATTATTTCTGTGAATAGCCTTTGCAGTTCATTTGTTTGCATCCCTGCTTCTTCCTTTACATTCTTAATTCTTAAGTTATGGATCCTCTTATCATCTTCTAGCCTTTGTATTGTTACTGCTTGTAAGTTACTTTTAATAAGTTTTTCCTTTCATGCTCCCACATTATAAATCTGTCCTCCAGTTCAGATAATCTATCCTTAGTTTCTTTCAAGCTGTTATGCTTTCAATAGAGTATTTAGTTTCTGGTACTCTCTTTGAACCCATTTCATATATTCTATGTTTTTTCTATTTTCTCCACCAAACAATTATCCTCTTTTTTTCTGTTCTTCCATTCTACCATCTGTTTTTTATTGGGAGGTGCTTAGCATTTCTTTAACTATTCTACTTATATGTTGCTTTACTTGGTTAAATACTTCATTTTTGAACTTGTCTATTAGGTTCCAGAGATATCGCTTTATGTCTATTGGTGCCATGTCTGATATTGCATGCTTTCTGTCCTCATTCTCCTTTGCATTTACCTTCCCTGGATCAGTGTTCTCAGGATTGGTGACCGAGGACCCTTTCTTATTGCCTCCTCTTCTCATATTTTTTGTTCCTTCCATACAGGCATATATAGGAGGCCCAGTTTCTTTCTTTGTGGGTTACAGTTTGTTTGAATTGTACCAGTTAGGTGTTCCCACCCACTGCACTGTACTAGGAAGACACAGACTGGGGAAGCCTATTCTGGGCCCGCCCCAACAGGTCAGTCAGCCTGCTGAAGGCTTCTATGCTTTAGGATGCACTGCCAGGTACAGGGACCTGGTTTGGGTTAGCCTACTGGATTTTAGTCTACGGCGTCACCGAGGTCAAACACTCCCCACCAATCCTACTTGAGAGGGGAATATGTGACTAAAGTCACTGCAGCATCCTGTTCCACCTAGTCTGCCAGGTCCCAGAATGTTCTCTCTTGGAGACTCCTTATCTGTGGAAGGGTCCCCGTTTCTATCACTCACTGCAGGTCGAGACAGGGCTCCCCACAAGCTCTGCTCTCAGTTTGGTTCACTGATTCGATTCCCACTCTCAGGGCTTTTGTGTCTCTATCCCTGCTGTGCCAATTCAGACGCAGCAGCAGCAGCACGGGAATTCAAGCCACGGTTTCCAGAGGAGTGGGTTCCTGTGGCAACACTTTAGCTATTTCAGTCATAGCACTGGGATTACATTTCCAGTTGGCTTCTCTCAGCTTAGTTCATTCCTGGGTTGGCAAGGTATATCTCCCCCTGCTTAGGACTCCCCACACTGCATCATTCCTGGAATCTAAGCTGGCTACCTCAGAGAGCCACTGTAGCTGTTATTATCTATCCACCAATCTGTTCTCTACTCCCAATCTATTTTTAAAGATACAAACAAAGGCAAAGATACTACATTTTCAAGGAAAGAACAAATATCATTGAAATGTCTACATGTCTCAAAGTGATGTACAAATTCTATGAAATTTTCAATATTTCCTTACCTGTGAGAGTCTCTATTCTCCTCACTCACTCCTGGAGCTCAGCTTTTTTCTTTTCAGATTTCACATGTAACTGAAATCCAGTGGTTTTTGCTATTGTGTCTGGCTTATTTCATATAAAATTTTGATTTCTGGTTCCATCCATGGTGACACAAATAACAGAATTTTGCTATGTTTTACAGCTGAATTTTACTGAATCGTATAGGTGTGCCTCACTTCCTTGATTCAGTGACCATTAATGAAATTTTGGGTGTTTTTGGCCATTGGGACTGGTGCTGAGTAGACACAGAGGGCAGGTGTCTCCTTGAATACCCACTGAATTTCCTCTGAATAAGTATCCAGCGTTGGACTTGCTGGATCATATGGGAATTCTGTTTTTAACTTGCTTTTTTTTATTTAAAGAGAAAAATACCAAAACACAACAGTGAAAGGGTAAAACTAATACAGAATTTCAAGAAAAAATATACAGTAAGAAATCACTAGTTAATAGATTACATATTGTCATCTTAGAAATAGTTGTTCAAATTACAAAATTAAAGCATACAAGGTGGACATTCAAACAGTGAGATTGCCAACAGTTCTGTTCAATCATCCAACAAAAACTTAGTAATGTGGTTTCTATCATACACACTTAAATATGCATGCAGTTATATACTTTAGATCACTATCTTTTCCTCTCTTTTTTTACAATAACAATTACACATTTTGGGTTATATTACTCCCACAGTTCTTATTACTTTTTTTTGAAGAGAAAAAAACCACATGTGACAAAGCAAAACAGTCAGTTAGAACAGAAGGATGGACATAGTATATGATGTAAAAACAGAATACTGCCCGCCTGCCACCTCTCCTGCCCGGGGAGCACACCACCACCGCTGCCAGCTGGAAGGAGAGGGCCCAGCTGAGCGCCAGGGACTCCCGTTCATCCCTGCTTCTCCTGCCCAGGAGCGCACCAACTGCTGCCAGCGGGAAGGAGAGGGCCCAGCCAAGCAGAGGGACTCTGTCTGGTCTAGCCCTGCCCACTGCCTTGTCTGGCCAAGGAGCACACCACAGCTGCTTGCCGGAGGAGGTAACTGGGACGAGCTGCTGAGACCTGCTCTGACCTCACCTGCGACCTTCCTTTGATCTGGAGAGCACCAGCACTACTGCCACTGTCTGGGGGAAGAAGCAGTCCTGCTGAGGAGGTTTGAGGCCTACATAGGCCATAAGAGAACCTTCTATCAGCCTGGGGAGTCTTGCCATCCAGGGAGCTGGATTGTTATACAACATCCAATCTCTGGAAGAGTATGAGATCCTTGCTCTAGGGGGTGGGGAGCCCACTGGGCTTGCAGCCACACTAGAGTGGGCTTAGCAGGATTTTGGAATGCCTAGTCCACACCAGGTGGCCTTCTATCCCTCAGGGGAGCTTTGCTACCAGAAGGGGAAACTGTGCAAATTGAGAAGGCTTTAGGTCTACCTGAGAGGAGTCTGGCAAGCCTCTTTTAATCCCGGGGCTCCACTGCCCAAGGAGGGAGCTACTACCAGAGGTGTCCCAAGAGCCCAGGGCATAAGGGTCAATTTACAACACAACCAGGGGAAACTCTGAAACAACACTTAAAACACAGTAATATAGGAAAATGACAAAATGAAAGACCAAAAAGCAATCTCAAACATCCAACCCATCCCAAGAAAGCCTAGGAGCCATGTACATAGAAGAAAATACATGCCATATACCTGAAGTACCTGAAACAATAGTAACTGAAATAAAGAAGCAACTCCAGGAAGCTTTAAAAAAGGAATTCAAACTAGAAATAATTTCTCAGGTAAAAGAAGAAATAATAAAAAAAATGAAGAAGATGCTGAACATATCTAAAGAAGGCACAGTTAAAAAATTGGAGGAGCTAAACAAAAAGAATCTCTGGATGAACAATATAAGAAACAAACAGAATATATACAACAGATGCAAAGAGATATACAGAAAATCAAAAACTCCACTGAAAGTTGTAAAAACCGCCTCAATGAATGTGAAGATAGAATTTCGGACTTCAAAGACAAGATTGCAGCCAGTGAACAGGAATGGAAAGATCTTTTAAAAATGACAAGAAATCAAGAAATAACAAATCAACACCTGCAAGATGATGCAAAGAAAAACAACATAAGGTTGATAGGGATAAATGAAAAAGGAGACAATATAAAGGATGTCAAGACGATATTTAGAGAAGTAACTGCTGAAAACTTCCCAAACATGAAATTGGAAACTGATATCAGGATCAATGAAGCATATAGAACTCCAAATAGCCATAACCAAAATAAAACTACACCCAAACATATAATAATCACCATTCCAGAAATCAAACAAAAGAATAGAATATTAAAAGTTGTCAGAGAGAAAAGACAGATCATCTATAAAGGAAAACCTATCAGAATCACAGTAGCCTTCTCAACACAAACAATAAAGGCAAGAAGAGCATGGAGTGAAGTATTCCAGATCCTAAAGGAAAATGATTTCCAACCTAGACTGATGTACCCTGAAAAACTGTCCTTCAAAATTGATGGAGAAGTAAGATACTTTCGGTCGATTGGAAAATGGCGGCGAGCTAGGGGATCGAGCGAAGAATCTCTCCAGAGAATTCAAACTCAAAGATAAAAAAAGACAGCATGGAGAGGACCAGACAAATCGATAGCGATTCTTATTAACCAAGACAGTACAACTGGAGGATTTAAAGTCGTGCTGAGACCGGAGGCTACAAATCCCGCACCCTTAAATCAACAAACAGACTCGTGGACCCAGCACGAAAAGCTGAGTTGCTTTTGGAGACCGCGGGAAACTGAGACCCAGATCAAGACTCCAAGTAGCAGCCAGTTCTGCACCGCTGCACCAGAGCGGATGTACAAAGCTCTGGCAATTCAAATCTAAACGGTGCACAGAAATCTGACTGGTCAGCGCTGAGCCGCGAGTGGGGGAAAAGTGGACAGCTTGGTGTGCGGCGGTCCCGGAACGAGGACTTGCACCAGACTCTGGTGAGTACAGAAAACCCCGCCGCTGCTGGGTTTAACCAGAGAACAGCTGGCCCGCCATCACGGGGAAATCAATAACACAGAATCTGTTGCAGACATATTAGCCTGGCGGCAGAAATCGCAGCTTAGTGACATCACCAGGTCCCCCTGTAGGGAGGGCTGGTGGAAGACATCTTGAGTCCTGGCAGAGCCTGATTACTTGTTGGCTTCAGCTCCACACAGAGAACTTAGTGGGAGCCATCTTTGTTTTGGGCAGATCTGCTTTTCTGGTGCACCTATCACAGAGAGGTTTGGAAGAGAACGGCTGGGACCTGGGCAGAATCCTGTGCCATTACTCAGCTGCTTCTGATTCAAAGAGAACTGGCAGGAGCTACTGGGGCTAAACCAAGCCTCTGCTTGGGGCCCAATAAGCAGATACAAAATAGTCACAACTCAGTGACAACCAGAAAGTACAGCCTAATCTATGAACTAACTGACACAGAGGCTGGAGTCTAGACTGTACCGCCCCTACATCCCAGCCTACCCCAGATAACAGCAAATTGGGGAGGACAGCAAAAACTCAAGCCAGCACGCTTCTGAAAGGCCCTAAGCAATTCGGAGAGGGCCAGAGAACTCCAGGACAGTCTGAAAGAAACCAGAAACATGACAAGAGATAAAAATAAAAAAAAACCCTCAGCTGTTCAACAGGAGAAATTAAACCCAAGAGAACTAAACACTGAAGAGAACAAGCACAGTAACCATCCTCTACTTGACACAGCATCAGCCGAAATTAAAAAGTACTTACATGATCTCATAGAGGAATTTAAAGATGTACTCCTGATCCAAGTGAGGCAAGATATAAAGAGATTAATTAAAGAAATGACAAGCCCCGCCCAAGAGAACATAGATGGAAGAACTGAGGAAATCAGAAAAGAAAGAGAAGCATCTGAAGAATTTAAGCATAACTTAGAATACATGAAACAGATCCAAAGAGAATATCAGGAAACTCAGAACTCCATTGAATATTGGCAAAATGCCTTGACAGAAACTAAAGACAACCTTCTGAAACTTGAAGAGAGATTTAGGGCTTATGAACGTGAAAGAAAAAGCCTCTTAAAAATAACAAGGAACCAGAAAGAAGCAATTCTAAAACTGGAAGATGATAAAAAGATACATAACCTAAGGATAAAGAATGTGAGTGAGGAAGCAGGAACATCCAAAAATGAAATACAAAAAATATTCACAGAGATATTAAAGCAAAATTTCCCACGTATAGCAAAAAGAAATGATATCCAGACAAAAGAAGCATACAGAACGCCAGCTACCTACAACCAAAACAGATCTACGCCTAGGCATATAATAATCGAGATCCCAGAAATCCACCAAAAAAATCAGAATATTAAAAGCAGCCAGAGAAAGGATGCAGGTTACCTATAACGGGAAATCTATCAAAATAACAGCAGACTTATCAACACAAACTCTTAAGTCAAGAAGGGAGTGGGGAGAAATATTCCAAGTCCTGAAGGAAAAAAATATGCAACCTAAGTTCATATATCCGTCAAAACTCTCTCTAAAAATTAATGAAGAAATAAGATACTTTCAAGACAAGGAGGAACTGTGGGAGTTCGTGGCCACCAATCCAACCCTACAGAGAGCGCTGAAGGACATTACAGAGAAAGAGAGGAAGAGATATCAGGATTACAGCTACAGTGGCAGAGAAGCCTCAGTGAACGGGGCAGACCATGGAATGAGGGAATAAGGTGGACAAATTATAGCAGAAAAATGGAGTAGCAGACATGAGGCAGAGACGGTAAGCTAGTCTTTAGTAGAGACAGCTCTGAAACTATATTTAAAAAAAAAAAGCAGAGGTCATTGCTAATGGTGTATAACGATTTAAAAGACACAGTAGTCCTAGTGACATATTTAGATTGAATTAAATTTGTTCTGGTCTGTCCACTCATATCAGATTTGAGGACACAGACCTCTAGAACCAAAAATAGCAGGTTATACCATGGCAACTATCCTTACTTTCCTATTGACTTACGCTGAAATTCTGTATTACTTACATTGTCTTACTATGACTGATCTTAATTGTATCTGAATCATAAGACTATTGGTTGGCCTTGACTGATCCTATTTGAAATCGGTATGCGTGTTAGAATCGACCCTAAAAGTAGAGGAAACTACTCTGAGCATGACAAGATGTAAAGGATATCCATACTGGTATGAATCAGTAACAGCTCTCAAATACTACAATGCAGTCAAAGATAAGTTTTTATAAAAATAGGTGATAGTATGTTTAACTATAATAAGCCAGTGTTGTCGACAAATCTATTGAAAATAACAAGAGAAAACATAGTAGCTACGGAAGATCATTTATATTATAGTTTTATAAGTCCTATCCATTGCATGTTTATCTAGGAAATTGTTTCGTTGTCTTGTTATGACTTGGTTTTCCCTATAATACAGAGAGGATAGGAACAAATACTCTGAGGAAGAGACCTGAAAAACCCAAGGCTTATTTTGTAGCATTATAATATAAATTCTAGCAATCTATTGCTTGCTGATTAAAATGACTCTGGACTGGTTTCTTCAGCTCAACTTCAGCATATGCAGAGATGGGGACGGCTATCACAAAGAGAATGAGAGATGCGATGGTAGTTGGTATTGTCTTCCCTAATTTGGAACTTGAGGACCTAAAAAGACTCCATCATCCTGTAATGATTTGATTAGTTCTATAATATGCAATAAGTATAGAAAGTGGGTGAAGTTAGGGACAACTATTTGTAAGAAGCTAGAGACAGTTAGAAAAGGTAGATCTCCAGTGGACTTGCTTTGAAATCTGTATTTCTTTAAATTGTTTTTTATTTTTTTTAAATGTTCTGTTCTGTTTTGATATGGTTAACCTTATCCTCTTAGAGATGTAAAACAAATAGGTGGGACTGATAATCATATTACGGAGCTTTTGTTCGGCCATAGAGCAGAATAGTTTGTAGGGTCATTTTTTTTTTTATTTAAGAGGAAAAAGAGAAAAACACAAAACAAAACAAAGCAGTGTAAGGTTACACATAATACAGAACTACAAAAAAAAAGAAAACATAACAGTAAGAAATCACCTGTTAATAGATTACATAATATCATCTTGGAAATAGTTGCTCAAATCACAGTATCAAAGAATACAAAGTAGACATTCAAACGGAGAGACTGCAAACAGCTGTGTTCAATGATCC